CAGATAATTGTGTATATTTTGATTTCAAACATTTAAATTTTGCATGAAATCAAATACAGGTAAACGGATACATTACAGTGCATTCATACAGTGTATTCAATACACTGTATTGAATGAAGTTTTGAAAACTTGAAAGTTTTGTTTAACAAGTTTTTTAAACCAAAATATAGACACCTGTTGTCCAACGAATACATTACTAATGACTTGTTTAACTCAATCCATGTCTTCATTCATCGTTTGACTTATTTTTGATAAAAATTTTGATTTTTGTATTCAATGATTGCTAAAATGAAATGATTTTTTCGTTTATATAACCTTCAAATGGAAACCAAACTCTGTTTTAGATCTACTTTACACATAATTTTAGTCAATATTATATTTTAACACAATTTTCACTTAATTTACAAACGATGAGCCAAAACGAGTCCAATAAGACTTACCTGGGATTTGATTTGAGTACTCAACAGGTAATCAATACAATGAAATGACCACTAAATCAATGCATTCATTCAAATGTCTCAATATATGCCCAAAGCTGAAGGCATTGGCTGTGAATGACTCGTTGCAAGTCATACACGAGTCTTGTGTTCACTTCGACACCGATTTGCCTGAATTCAGGTCTGAAATAACTTTTTGTCACTTTTTACTAAAACTCACTTTTCATTGTATTTCTAATTCAATTGCATTCAAATCTCTGCTCATTTCAATTGAATACACACTATATATCCCTTTCCGCACAAAAACCCTCTTCGGGACAAAACTAACACATTTAGTAAATTGAATAAAAAGTTTGTCAAACAAATTGCAGAACTCATGGGGGAGTGAACCAAAACACAGACCAACAGACAGTGACTGCGCCCCCCGTCATGTGGATCAAGGCCTTTGATTTGGTGTTAGAGAGGCTTAAGATCAATGGTATTGATTACAGTTCAGTGGCGGCCATCTCGGGGTCGGGTCAACAGCACGGAAGTGTCTATTGGAAGAGAGGGGCCATCAATACCCTCAAGAACCTCAAGTCCGATAACTTTCTGCACAACCAATTGTCTCAATGCTTCTCATGTCGTGATTCCCCCATTTGGATGGACTCGAGTACAACACAATACTGCAAACAATTGGAGCAATGGGTTGGCGGTCCCCAGAGATTGG